AATTCTAAAAAAAAAAACGTATTTTCGATTATTTACTTTTGTTAAAACTATGTTTCCTCAACATCTAACCTGACCTCCGAATTCTAAAAGGAACGTATTTTCGAATAGTGAAACTTGATGCAATTTATAAAAAGTTATGTCGATGTGTGCACCAGTGCACCTGACAAATTATGGAATTTTATTCTAATTTCAGGAAACGAGGCAATAAGTAATTGGAACGGGATAGAAAAGGGTGCGATGATATGGAAAAAGTTGTGTTAAATAAAAAAATATGTGAATTGCAATCGTTTATTGCTTTTAAAAAAAGGTAAAATATGACGTCATACAAACTTTGACAGGCTATATCTCGAAAACTAATAGAGCCCGACAAAAAATAAAGTGTGTTCTGAATTCCTACCATCATCTAGTATCATCCCTGAAAAAATCGCGAAAATCCGTGAGTATCCCTTAAAGTAAAATTTAGCCTTGGAGCAAATGAAACAGTTGTGGATCCGAGTGGATTCGAGTGTTTATCAGAAATGATACTAACGAGAGTACGAGAATTTTGACAGAACTAAAACTATATGAATTGTTAATATCCAGAAATACATTTTGGAAATGAAGTTATATTTTCCTGTATCCGCTAATTCAAACCAATCTATATAAATGCAGGCACACCATAGAAAATATATTTCTGGATTACTCCTAAAGATATTCAAAATAACTTTACCTGTTACGAAATGTAATAATTGGAAAAGTGTAGATATCAACGACTTGTTTCCCACTGCAAACCTAAGTTTTATTTCGCATAAAATAAAAGATATTACAAAAAAGGGTAGGTAGTGTTTTTATAGTCCTTCCAGTGTAATCTTCGGATCCACGTCAAACGTATTTTCTTTGCCAATACTCGCCTTTGGGTTATGCAGCCAGCAATACCACACGGGCTGAATGCAAATTGCCTATTTTTTATTAGAAGTAGCACAAAATAAAATATTGAATGCAAAACGACAATGGCGTTCCAACCGACAAAAGAAGGACATTCATGGCACAAAAAACAAATCTCGTAAATATGAACGACGTTCAAAGAAATGAAAATGGTTTCGTCAAATCAAGTTCTCGGATTGCTGTGTCTGAGGGTAAAATTTTATGAGAAACTTGGTGGTGAACACCGTATATCAATATCTATCATTGTTTCTGGGTTACAGCATGTTTTTCGAAAATTGTTTGGCTACAAATTTTGGTAATAATTGGACAGGCAACTAAGGACTTAACTGTTGGTCGGCCATGTCACTGGACCTAACGCCTATGGACTTTTACCTCTGGAGAAGGTTGAGAGATCTTATATTCAAATTGCCGACCAATCCTAGATACGAATTGGAGGCGGCAGTGATGCAAAGTTTTGCTCCCATTGAACTAATTATTTCGGCAAGAAACGTTCAGAAAAGGTGTCGCCTGTGTCTAGGAGAAGTTGGTAGACATTCCGAACATCTTCTCTGAAGAAATATTTTCATTGTTTGTTCTTTATCATTACTGTTATTATTGTTGAAGTTTCATTTAATAGTAGTAAAAAAAGTATGAATTGTTATCAGTTTTATTGAAATTATTCGTTTTGATTACTGCTGTGAAAAGTTTTCTCAACATTTGATAGCTACTACTAAACAATTTTTTTCTGTTTTATCGTTGCGTCGCGTCCTCCAAAGCTTACTTGATCAAAGTGTCAAAGTCTATATGGAAAAATCTAAATGCTCTGTATTTCAAAGCTATTTTTGAACTCTATTGAAGTATGCAGGAATGTACAGGATGACTCATTTAAAAATAGTGTTCCATCAATAACTTTTGATATCTCATTTGAGAAAATTTGTTTTTCACACCATTGAATTCTACGTAAAAAAGTGCGTTGGAAATATCGTTGGAAGTTGTTGATGAAATACATTACCAATATAGCTAATACTAATGGAAGATCAATATCTGCCTTGATTTATCATGTGCATTACCTTCATTCGATTAGAGGTAATGTTCCGCCCAGATACTACTTTTATATGAAAATTGTATTACCAAAAAAAATTTTTTGTAATAGCAGAATTCTGGACTAGAAAAAAACATTGAAATTTCAAATAGGCTCCACCCGTCGATTTCGAAAACAAACTGTGTACACTCACGTAGTTTACCGTGTTGATTTCGGAAGAAAAAGTCGATGCTCTCTCTTGTTTCCAGAGTTACAGCCCTCCAAAGTTCCGAAACGTTTCTGTCTTCTTTCAGCACAGTACCGTTGGAGATATTTGGAGGTTCCTATATATTGGTCATGTTGACTTTGACACATCAATGGGTACCAATGAAAAATACTTAAAGAATCAAGAGCCACAACCTGCAGAAGATATTGCGAAAATGATAAGAAGTTTAGGGTGGCCCCAGCAGTATCCAGCCTAACAAAGAAATGTCTTGCTCCTCAAAATAGCCATTAACTGATGACATCACTTCTACATCGTTGGAAAATCTTTGACCAACTGAGCCATGTTTTCAAGTTTGGGAACAGAAAATAATCCGGGGGCTAAATCTGATGAATAGGGTGCGTGATGGAGCATTCCAAACTATAATTCGTTAATTTTGGTCTTTGCGATAATGGATTTGTGAGCTGATGATGAAACAACACTTTTTTCTTAGCTAAATGCGACCGTTTTTGCTTGTGATGCACTGTTCGAAACCTTTGGTATATATAGTAATGAATGAATGAATGAATGAAAAACGTAAAAATACGTTTAACAGAACATTTGAACTTCGGTAATATAATAAGCTTCAAACAATTTCGATTCCAGTCAAACAAAAATACTCATGATGCCATATTTTCATTTTTATATGAAGTGTATAGTAACATTAATAGACGGGAGATTACAGCAGCAGTCTATTGCGACTTCTCTAAAGCATTTGACTGTGTTAATCACGAAATTCTGCTCAGGAAACTTTATCTCTATGGTATTGAAGGTATTACTCATAAATGATTTGCTTCTTATCTATCTGGTAGAAGTCATAGGATTAAATATACAACAGTATCTGATGTTTCTAACATATCTAACGGAGTACCACAAGTATCAGTACTGGGACCTACCCTATTTCTACTCTTTATCAATGACTTTACTACCATTGATATTGAGGGTAAATTTACTTTATTCGCCGACGACACTACAATATTATGGCGCAATACCAACACAAATGATCTATATAATGCCATTTGCTCTGATATTTCCAAACTTTCAGATTGGTGTAAGGCAAATTTATCAGCATTCAATGTCTCAAAAACTAAAGTTATATCCTTGGGTCGATTTTTATTCTGCAGAAAAGGTCATTAAGACTTCTCTGTAGAGCCAGGAGGCGAGATTCTTGTAGGCCTTTGTTTGTAGCAAACAAAATTTTGTCACTGTATGCTCTATTCATTTTAGAAACAGTTTGTTTAGTGCATAAACATAGAACAGAACTTCCCTCTATTGTCTCTCATTACACCACACGCCAGACCCTAAATTTAAGTCTTCCCATACCAAACACTACTTTAATTAAAAATTCTATATTGTATAATGGTCTCAAGATGTATAATCATCTTCCAAACTATCTAAAATGCGTAGTAATCTGTACTGAATTTCGAAAATCTACAAGGGATTTTCTTAGCGAGAGGCCCTATTATAGTTTGCAAGAATTTTATGACGATACCTTCTAATCATATTTTATACACATTTCTCTCTATACATTTTTTTTATTATTTTTGTGTTTGTATATGTATGTATGTATCTGATGTTAATTTAGAGGTCCCTATATATTAGTCATGTTGACTTTGACACATCAATGGGTACCACTGCAAATTTCTTAAAGAATCAAGAGCCACAACCTGCAGAAGATATTGCGTCAGTACCTGCCCGGTACTGACGATGCCCAATAGGCTGAAACAGCTGAAAACTCAAATTTTCACATACATTTATGAATAGGAACATACATTTATGACAGGTTGCCAGTCAAAAAATACCCGCCAATATTTTTATTTGAAAAAATGAAGCTACTAAAATACTTCGTGGAGTAAGAGCCGGGTCAATCCCTCTACGAAACTCATCATCACTTGGAAGGATCGATTGCAGCTTGAGAAATGGTTCTGAAGCAGATTCTGTGAAACATGTTCTCCCTAATTAATCAGTAGACAGCTGTCCTAAAAATCTTGCGAAAAAAATTGGATTGGATAATTTAGGAAACATTAGCTACATGAATAGCACGTGTGATTCCTAACATGGGTTGGACGATAGCAAGTGAAATTCGATTATCCGGCCTACGGCTTGAACCACCGATTTATACAGCGGTCGATTGAGTGAGTGAAGCAAAGCACCCACGTCAAACCGACCGGCTACCGACCTTCACATCACCTTCATATCTCATTTAACCTCCTTCGATACTTTTCAGTTCAATAATCAACAGTTTCTTCGTGAAAAACTTCATTTAACAATGCATTCTTTTTCTGGTGACATCTCTTCATTGTCAGAGAGAGAGAGAGAGAGAGAGAAAAATAATACGTTAATGGTCCTAAGAAAAAGTTCCTGTTGACAAACGTTTTTGAACTATGTTGAAATAGTATAAAAGTGGTACATAAAATCTTATCAATATAAAATAGAGTGTCAAACACATAAGTACAGAGCAAATAAATGGGAATTTACTTTAAAAATATATGTTATATTACAGTGGACAATGTGGACATGTACAGTGGACATTGTAAAATTCATCCAAATCATAATAGGATTTATCAAGTGAAATGATTTTTTTTTCGGAATCATGATCTACACGTCAAAATACGTGGGTGCGCACATTTTTTTTACAAAATCTGCGGGTGCAGCCCACCCGAGATTTTACCGAAAAAACATCTCAACCAAAGGATAAAGAGACTCATCTCATTCGATATGATATGTGAGGAGACAGTTCCTCAATATTATGTTCAACACTATTCACAAATTCAATCAAGTTATGTCATAACTCATGATTCTATTCTTTCTTAGGCATGTTGATATGTTTCGCAAAAGGTTCTTTTTTGCATTGGAGAACGGTAGCATGGATGGCCAACTTATATGTTGTGGTGTCAGTGGTTCTGCTTTTCCTCATTCCTGAGAGTCCAGCGTGGTTGATATCCAAGGGAAGAGATGAAGAAGCAGCGGCATCTCTGAGGTGGATCCACAAATATCAACCACAACCGCAAAATAGGGTGAGCATTTCATAATTGGAGGAGCAGTCAATCGCTCCTGATAGCGCTTGAACAAATTCAAGTACTCTTAATTTATTCACCATCCACCTTTTGCACCTAGTCTCATGCCGGCCAATTTTAGTTCTTGGATATCTCAGTGGTAGGGTATTGATAAAATATTAATAATATTGTTCATTCCACTCAGATCATAATATTATGTTCTATTCCACTGCCACTCTGACAATTCGAAACAAAAACTTAGCTCCATACGCACTGTACTTTCCGAACTAGACTGATTCTCCCACGTCGCGGCAACGTTTATACAATCCAATTAGTCCAGTCACCTTGGTCAGTTCTGGGAATTCGAGATAACCCGGCTAAAAAATCGTATGAACTTATATTTTCACATTCCAGAACTTGTTTCAAAATCTACATACGATTCGGTATATGCAACTGTTGAAATCTAAGCTCAAAGGTCACAAAAATCGATTTTTGCATACTTTTTTGCAAATATTTCGTTTCCTATGGATTTTTCGCTATTTTTATTCATCAAAATTATTGTAGAGAAATGAATTCCCTACAACTTTTGTTCAGTTTTTTTACGTTGAATCGTTGAAGCGAACAACCAACAACATGTTTGTCAACACTATAGGTCAGTGGTCGCCAACCTGTCGATCGCGTGCTACCGGTAGCTCGCGGAGGCAATTCTGGTAGCTCTCACAACGATTTTAATTTAAAAAATACAAACTGCAAAAATCAGAGAAATTATTGGACCTTCTGGTCATACCACTTCTGATTCAGCAGTCTTAATCTCATCCCTATCATTCGTGGGGGTTTAATGAGGAACTTTCGGCTCCACTTAGAGTTAGACTTCGCCTGATAAGATACCACTGTGAGGGCTCGCAACATAAAATTTCTTTTAGACTAACTTTCCGTTGCTGTTCACGGCTTCAAAAGTGAAAATAGAAAAAATGCATATACGCCCTCCTAGGTTCAAAATACTCTGGAGGTAGCCACTCAATCTCATTGCAACTGATTCGAGGGCATTATATTGCAGAGAATACTTGACTATTTCTAATAGTCTGTATCTGTATCTGTAGAGTAGGGAGGATGAGTACCATTGTTCATCCTCCTGAGGAGTTGTCCTCCTAGGTCATCGTCCATCCTGTCCTTTCCAGGAAAGTGGACAGGTCACTGGGAGACATCTCCTTTATACCAACAGGTTTAGGCCAAGACTCGCCAAACACACACTTTCTTATTGACGATAACTCAGGACACACGCATAGGACATGCCTCAAAATATCATCTACCTGTTCACCCATCCTGCATAGAGGTGTGTCCACTAGCCCCATATAATGGAGGTGTTTCCTTAGTTGACAGTGGCCAGTCAGAAATGCTACTGTTAAGCGTAGATTTTTCCAGGTCATCGTCGGATATTTTTTCGGCGGTGATTCCATCACATCTCTTTAGGGATTGAGCATGGGTGTAACATTTGGCTAGTTCCGCAATTATCGAAGTCATTAGGTCGTAGGTGCCACTAGGTCCTAAAACTAAAGAGTCGGCAATGCGATTACCTTTACTTCTGTAATGCCCTCAACCCACCTCAGGATAATGTAATTATCTACCGAGGCTCTGGCTAAATCTTGGTGGCACTAGTACTAGCCCAGAGGTAACACGTTGTCTGTTCAAGGTTAATATGGCTTGTCTGCTATCAGTGCAGATTGTTTTTGCCAGAAATTCCTTTCCTGGTTATATCTCTTGTGACGATTGAGATACTAGCCAGTTCTGTTCCTACTTAATCCTTGTTCCTAGTGATCTGGAGTACAGTCCACATCCTGAGCCTTGTTTGGTTTTTGAACCGTCTGTATATATGCGTATTGCATTTGTAGCATCTGACTCAGTGTTCTGTTTTATTTGTTTTCTGTAGGGTTTATTAAACACAAACTTGGGTTCAATTGCATCACTGGTTGCCTATACCGCAGAAGGTGCGCAGTAAGCGCTTCTCGCTATAGGCTCAGCCCCAATTGACCCATTCCTACTTCGAAGTTTACACGAGCCGTGCGCAATCGTAACATGGCCATTAACACAACCTTCCTAACGAACAGGTCCAGAGGGGTCAGACCAGTAATTAATTCCATTGTCACGGTTGGTGTTGTTCTCATGGTTCCTATGATGTTTAAACAAGCCAGTCGCTGTATTTGATATAATTTTTGGATGGCCGTTGCTCGTAGAACTTTCGGTCCCTATGCAATTGCTCCGTACGTTAACATGGGTCTTATTATTGCAGTGTAGATCCAGGTGACCACACGGGGTGAAACACTCCATGCGCATCCCACTGTCCTCCGACATTGCTCACAAGCCACATATGCTCTTTTTGCTCTACTCTGTAGGTGAGAGTTCCATATTAGCATCCTGTCGAGGATAGTACCAAGGTATTTCTCCTCTTCGGAGAAGTTTAGTTTGCTTTTCAAGATTTCGGGAGGTTTTAAGCCCGATAAACTTCTTTTCCTAGTGGAAAGGACCATCTCAGTCTATAGTTATCCAGAGTTCTACTACCATTAGTTCATTAGGAAATATGGTAACGCTTGTTAGCACGCTCAAAAGCTAAACATCGCAGTTTTTGTAAATGAATATAATTTACAACTGTCTAAACCCAATGTGAATATCATGTTTCGCAGAAGCACCATTCCCTGCATTACCTGGTGAGATATACCTGTATAAAGTTCTCCATCACATTTCCAGCAGAACCCATCAAAAAGTTGATATTCCTCAAAACGTTTGCTGAAAGCGATCTCTTCTATTTTTCCAGGTACTTCTGATCAGACGTGGGTTCCAGTTGCTTTACTTGTCATGTACGTGGTGACGTGTATGATTGGACTCTTGCCTCTTCCGTGGACCATAACAGCTGAGCTCTTCCCCATCGAAATCAGAGGGGTTGCCAACAGCCTCTCTTTTAGTATGGCCAACGTATTCATGTTTGGAGCAATTCAGTCCTTCTGGACAATGGACCGTCTCTTTGGTGGCATGGCAGGAATTCAGTGGTTTTACGCGGCCGTCGCTTTTATTTCTTCAATATACTCGTTTATTTTCTTGCCGGAAACCCACAGGAAGAAGTTAACAGAGATATCTGAGTATTTCCTTACTAATACTATATATCTCGGGTCTACAAAATCTGCTGGAAAGTTACAGCACAATAGAGTCAGCAAAGAACATTCTGCCGAGTTGAATATCGAACAGGGTGAAACTCTGTTGGTGAACAGAAAAGACTGAATAATAAACATACAAATGTGTTGACAGTGATAGATTTCACAATGTACACCAAAAAAAAGATTATCAAAAAAAAACATTTTGTAGTAGTGTCTTTCACCATAATAGCGATACGGAAATTCTGGCAAAATACATTTATACGGAATGTTGAATCTTGAAACAATAACAATGTTTTCGTCAGATGACCAATACCAACAATTGACGATACGAGAATTAAACAGTCCTTTTTTTAGGAAAAATAACTAACACTCATCTGAGAAACGGACGTCAGTACAACAAATTAGAATTGCTTGATATACGTTCATTAAATTACTAGCAGATCTGTAAATGTAAATGTAAATGTCAAGGTCTTCTTCATTAATTCGTGCACGCGATGAAATGTATTTTTCATTTACCGCACTTGAAAATTCTTCAAATGCCCCTACAGCTACTAGAAACTATAGATACATAACATGGAATCAATACTGCCGAAAATAGCAACTCCTATAGCTTCATTTTCCAATATTACATTTCTTTCTTCATTTGCCACGAATTCTGTCTTCTCGCTACAAATATAATAACGTATTGCCGGATTTTGAACATTAAAACTATTTGCTGTAATATTAGCGCACCTAAGGTTTGTAATGAGTTTGTGTGTTTTTTGAGAGGAGTAAAATGGGATGCAGATGATAGTGACATGGTGGAGTGAGATGTATCCAATACTACAGATGAGTTCATGGTCAAGAAGAGCGATTATTTTTCTCGCTAGCTGGTGGATTCATTAAGGATTCATTGAATTTGCTGTTGGAAGAGTGAGCATTTGTGAAATTGCAGTGGTTAGTTGGACCAAGAAACTCTGAATAAGTGGATGGCATCAGAAATTGATATCAACTAGATCAGAATTGGTGACGTCACCATCTGGAAAAGTATTGGTGAACCTGTATCAGATGCAAGTCGATGTTTTGTTAGAGATGAGTAGTATGGTGCAGTTGGTGTCAAATATTTGTTCGGAGATGAGGACTATGTTCAAATGATCAAACTTTTGAGAGTCCGACAATCCAGCAACATTTTTGTCTAGCCATTGGGACGCATACATCACTGGTGTTGGTGGTATAATTGTAGACTCATTGAAATTTCACCAACAGCTTTAGCCACTGAATAGAACGGTCTGGAACTGTTTTGAACAGCAAGCAGTTCATTACTAATCCAGGGGTAGTAATTCACTTTCGTTTACTCTTGATTTGTACTATTTGCGTCAGAAGGCAGCTTGCCCAGAAGATGAAGAAAACTAAAATATCAGTGACGAAAACTAGTTTAGTTTTCTTCTTCTCCTGAAGAGTATTACAGTTCTGGTGCTTGGGAAAAGTGCATGTTTTGAATGATTATTTTATTGTGAAAGAAAAATATGCAATCATATATGCCTGGGAAGCACAAATTGCTGAATCATCAGAGTTGAAACAAATTTTGAGGCAAGGAATATTCGATAATAGTAATAATGAATGCTTTCATTGAACGTTTCTCAATACATAGTAGGATACTGAGCTAACCTAACAAATCGCAGAATTCAACCACAACAAGTTTGTGGTCGGATTGTTTGAAGTTTTGTTTGCTGAATGTGAATATAGAAGAATAGCAAATTCTTCATCAAGGTTTGAAATTTGTGCATAATCTTAGACCACAACTTATTGCCAAAGCGTCCATAAATAAAAGATAGACTCTTGAAACTTTGAAAGAAATTTATATAATTTTCAGTCGATCTTCAACCAAATTCCATTTTCGATTTAAATCACTACGACACATAATATACGCGTCAGTTGAAAGGAGGTCCTCTAGGATCGAACGTCCCCGGAGAGTAAGACCAATAGCCTGGCGGCGGAAATAGCCCCGACTGAGTGTGCTGCGTTGATCCGGGCAATATGCTGGGCAGCCTAGGATTACCGGAGTGCGTCGCAGGATAGAGCGCCGCACCCAGTTCGCTCTGGTGAGGTTGGTACTTGTGGTAAGAGGGCATCAAGTCGCCTTGACCCTGCGCTTGCGCTTGACAGGCCGCCATGAGGCCGTGGAAGTCGAATTTGTACGCGTACCGTTTGCCGTGGACTTTTGACATGATGTTCTTATCGTAGTAGTACCTGGAAAATGATTATCATTATTAATATGGTAGTGGTGGATTGGAGCAGTTGGATCTGAAGATCGTGAGTTCAAATTCCCCTTCGACCAAAATTGCGAAACTGCAGACCAGTCGAGTTTATACTCAAAATTACGACTCTAAACTCAAAATTGAGATTTTAAAGTAAAAATTTCGACTTTCATCTCGGAACTTCGACTTTAAACTCGAAATTATTACTTCAACCTCGAAATTTCGACTTTCTTGGAATTTCGACTTTCAACTCAAAATTACTACTTTGAAATAGAAATTACCACTTTATACCCACTTAAGATTACGGCTTAAATCTCGTAATTTCGAAATTATGACTTCGAATCAAACTCGATATTACGACTTCATACTCAAAATTTCGACATTGACTTCGAAATTACGACTTTAAACTAGAAATTACCCCTTTATATCTACTCGAAATTTCGACTTCAATCTAGAAGTTTCGACAATAAGCGACTTTGAACTAGAAANTCGGAATTACAACTTTAAAGTAAAAATTACGAGATTGACGTCGAAATTTGGAGATTGAATTCGTATTTTCGAATCGCATCCGTAGAATCGTCTAGCTACTCACTAAAAATAATTTAACCTCATGAAAAAATAACAACCCACAACCAAACATTTAATATCCTTTCATTTTTCAAAAAACTAGATACTCATAAAAAGTTCCCGTACACACCTACTCAATCAACTGTTCTTTGCCATCTTACCTGAGTGCTCGGCTGAGCTTGTCATAGTTCATGTTGGGCTTAGACTTCCGCTCGCCCCAGCGTCTCGCGACCTCGTCAGGGTCGGTGAGCTTGAACTCCCCATTGGTGCCCTCCCACGTGATACACGCCGCGTTCGACGAATCGTTCAGCAGCTCGAGCAGGAACTGCCACAGTTGGATCTGTCCGGAGCCCTGCGCCACCAATCGGCTTGTCGCGGCGTTCAGCAGCTGGTAGGGATCTGAAGACGAAGACGATTTTTGAGAGTTTATAGAAATCCAATTGTTTCGTTTTGTTCATTTCGAGTAAGTTCGGTGAGTTTAGAAACTCTTAAGTCGTCATAGTGGACCCACAATAACATTACTGAAGACTTGGATGTGGCTTACAGAAAAAATACTAATTCGAGCAAATTTATTGAACACGATAATGACAAAACTTCACTTTCAGATAGATCAGGAGTATCTACATAGAAATAATAATATAGCATATTCTGCTCGACACTAACTATCATTTGTAGAGCAACTTCAGATGAGAAATAAAACTTATTATACTCCTAGCACCGATACATGAATTTAAAGCGTGTGAATACATGAATTAACTCGGCATTGAAATCGAATAATGAATATATCGAATATATTCCACTCCGAGGTTCGGTAAATGCTCGCAAAAGCCGCATATAAGAATTTTAGAAATATAAATTCGCAATTACCTACTACCTTTTCTAGCGGAAAATGTCTCTAGCGGAATCTGTTCTGAGATATTGTATAAATGCTTGGAGTGGAATATACCTACACTGTGTCCGTAAAGTATGGAACAAATTCATTTTCAGCTAAACAGGTCATTTTAAGAAATAATCCTGAAACACGTCGATTTTTGATGTTAATTTACCGTATTTTAAAATAATAATCTAATATTCAGGGTGAATTACCTTCGAGTAATGACGTCACCGTCATTTTTTTTAAATGGAACACCCCCATTTTGTCTCAATTTTCGGATTACTCTAGCTGAGCTGATTCCAAAAATGTATCACATGTTGATTCCAATTGGTACAGGGTGGACA